CGTAATAACAAATAGCTTTATAAATAATTACTATGAGAAGAATAAGGAACTCAATGAGAACAAAACAAATATATTTTTTTAAAAACATAAAATAAGACCATAAACATAAGAATATTAAATAATTTCACTGTTTGTTAATTAACATATATTACATATCAATAACATATGGCAATTATTAAATACATCTACTTATTATATAAAAGAAATATAATACATTTGTTGTACAGTACATACAATCAAACCATATAATAACTTTGAAAAAGAAAAACAAGTCTTAAAACAAAAAGAAAAACATAATTATAGACACGTATAGTTATAAGGAAAAATAATTAATAAATAATTAATAAATAATTAATAAATTTGTATAGCTAAGAATTTTGTGCATATTAATATATGTCAGAAATAATAAATACATAACGCACAAAATGAAAATAAAAATAAAAATAACTGCAGTTTGTAGTACGCGCAAAACAAATTGAACAAAAAATAACATTTAAAAAAATACAAAACATTAAATAATCTTTAATTACGCATATTTTTTGTTTCTAATAATGTACATATAAAGTTACTCATATCCTAACGCCCTAATCTTCTCTAATTCCGAAGCATATTTATTAATTCCCTAGATTTCCGCCTTTCCGCCACCAAGGTACATGGCAAAAAAGTTCAAACAAATGTGAAAAATTTCACATTTTCACGTGAAAGATATCTATTAGATTCGGAAAAAATTAACTGGATTTGAACTCGGGATCCCTCGTCTACCAATCCGACACTTAGTCTGCATGACCACGACGGCTCCTCTTTGTTAGCTGTTTATATTCCGAATCTCTTTAATGACCGCTTACGGTCGTCTAATTCTTACACACGTTTGAGAGAGTTGATCCCGCAAAATCGTATATGATCATAAGTTCACGTGAAACTTTTCACATTTCCGCCCTAGGGAAAAAGTTACATGATTGACCCCCTAGAGTGAATATACGTCATAGCCAACACATTACTTGGGATATTTTAACCAATCTAAAAACTGCGGTATTTGGCGGTATTTTATTAGCACTATAGAACAGCAATGCGTGCGCAATTTTGTGCGCATGCGTGCACATGACTGGTAAAAAATGGAATAAGAAGCTGTACGCTAATTTTTCCCGTATAAGTGTCGGTCCACAATAGGTGATTTAAGCTTTAAGAAGTAAGAAATTGACCAATTATAATCGAATATGAAAAGAATAATCGACTATGATTGGTCAATTTCTTACGACATAAAGATTAAATACTTATTGTGGATCGACACTAAACTATATGAAAGACAGAAAGAAGATCCAACAGCCTCGAGATTTAGGTCTTGTCTTTTAACTTTATCATTATCATTTATTCTATCAAAGGAATTAAAAATGGCCTCGATTCGAATATTACATATTTCGGAAATTCATTTTCGGAAATTTTGCAAAGATGACAAAGATTATCGCATGTATAAGCAATGAAACGGTGCGATAAGCAATAGTGCGGAATACGCGAACGAAACATCATTTCTATACAGAATATTATATAACTTGCACAAATATTTAATCGAATTAATTTTTAATACGACTTATTTGTGAATGTACATTAAGGAAGTTATATTTTTTCAGATGCACAAAATGTGTGTACTGTCAGTCACATCTGTTGAAAATACATATTCCTCTGATATGTGATACGAAGAATTCAACATTTTTTGTAAATAGTAAGTGAAATTTTAGTGTAAGCTTTTAAATAAACTCATAGAAAATAATTAATATCTTATTGCATTTTTTAGAATCTGCAGATGAATTATAGAAAGCTATGACGACTGTCAGTAATGCAGGAAGACGTAGAGGTAGAATGAAAGGATTAGCAAGAAAAAGGGATTTTAATAGAGGTCCAATTATTGATGTAAAAAAATTCTAATACAATTTCCTGTATTCAAAGGAAAGATGCTTGTTCAACAATAGAGGTTACCTTTAGATTCTAAAAGAGAGAAGTTTGCAAAACTATATAGCAAAAATAATCAGAATTAAACCAAAACGGAATCAAATTAATCATCATTGAAACATGATTGGACAAGCCTTCAAATGAGTGACAGAAAGATTGGACTCCTTTTCTATTG